TTTTTAGAGAAAATTATAAATTGGATTTATTTTTGATTAAAGTAACAATAAATTTGTTATTAAATTTATGAAAGTTTTGCTCTTATACATGATAACTGCAGTAAGGTTTTTTATATGTACAAAGGTGGAAGGATACAACATTACCTACAATGGAAGAATGGATGGTGAAGCTGATGGAGTTGGCTGGGATGGTGAAATTGATGGCTTTGATTTGAGAAAAGATATTGTGCAATTTTAATGTTAATTGGAAATTTTATTTGGACTAAATAATTTCTGTGGGAAATAGGAAAAAATGAAATTATGTATGGATTTGATTTTTAGAAATAATATGGGTTTATAGTAATAATGAAAGTTGTGTTGTAAACCTAGAGCAAGAGAGTGATGTATATTGTTACTTATATCTGTTGTCATTTCTTTTTGTTTCTTTTATCTTTCTTTTTCTTTGTTTTTCACACTTTCGACCCTGGTCATTCCTTTTTCTAATTTTCCTTTCTTTTTCTTATTTTCTTCCTTTAATATTAGTTTTTGTTAGTTTTTACTGTTTCTATTTTAAATTTATCTTTCTTTTTCTTTGTTTTTCACACTTTCGACCCTGGTCATTCCTTTTTCTAATTTTCCTTTCTTTTTCTTATTTTCTTCCTTTAATATTAGTTTTTGTTAGTTTTTACTGTTTCTATTTTAAAATTTAATAAAGTTATTTAAAAAAAATAGAAGAAGTAGAGAAGGACAAATGGATGGGATGGATCAATCTACAGTATAATAGGATAACTGGCAAGTCAAATGTCTATTAGACAATAAAAAGCCTGATAAATCTTCCGTCTGCTTTTGTCTGCAGCAGTGTTTCTCAACCTAGGCAAGTTGAGTGTTTCTCAACCTCGGCAAAATGTGTGGACTTCAACTCCCAGAATTCTCCAGCCAGCTTGCTTTCAACCAGAATGGAAAATCCATGGCCCTCCAGATACGGATAAACAACCAGGCAGCATAGCTGAATGGTGAGGGATGCTGAGAATTATAGTTCAATCAACTACTACTAAGTTTTGAAGCCCATAGTTTCTATACCCCAGGTCTCCTAAAAGTTGATAGATATGGAAGTAGGATTCAACATTTGCCTTATTTTCTGTGTGGAAAGAAACATTACAATTAATTTGTACCTTCTTATTGATGGTTATATCCTAATAGAAAGGATTTCAGAAATTTATACTTGCATACTTTGTAGAATGACAGTTAGCTTTAAATCATAGGAAAGATATTCCCTGAATAATACCTTAATACACCAATGGAGTACTGAAATACTTTGTCAGTATACCAATGAGTCTAAAAACCCAATTGCCGTGTTTTTTCTTTCTGTCTAGCTTCATGACAACAAGCTTGCATTTAGAATATTTAGAATACTCCCTCTTAACATTCCATAAGTCCCTCAAGACCTGGCTGTGTGATCAGACCTGGGGTTTCCAGGGGACCAGGAGATTTTACAATGGCTCCCTTATTAGTTTTATCCCCACCTGTTTTGTGTGTTTTTACTGTTTTTTATATGTAGTTGTTTTTATGTATTTGGT